ATGATTCATCTACATTAACTTCAATATAGAACCATCTTCAATAGATGTCCTTTGTAATCGAACTACGTTTTTAATCATTATGTATCTTTAATTAATTTCTATTTAATATCATGTTTTTATTATCTGCATATAAAAGTTTATATTTCTATTAATTATTCTTAATATATGATCTGAATTATTTATCATTCATAAAGATTTAGAATACATATTAAATATATAACAAATATGTTTTTGATATAGGCGTTCTCATTTTTCTTAACTTGATTCATACGCACAGAAATAAACATGAGAATAGAACAGAAAAATCTCTCATCATCTATGGACTAACATTTTACAAAGTCAACAATATGATGAGAAAGAGAAACAAAGACAAAGAGACAAAAAAAACAAAAAAAAATCCTGAAAAACACAATTAAAATGAAAAGACAAAAAAAGACAAAAACTACATGACAACAATAAATAAATAGTGTAAACATACGACTGTTGTGAAGCTGATAGCACTGACACACGAAGATATATATATATATAAAGAAGAAGAAGAAAAAAAAACTAAAAGAATAAGTATCATCGAATTTTATTAAATAAATTAAGTACACTGTCGGATTCTTTATTAGCACGACATTTTGTAAATACATTCCAAAATCGAAGTGTTTCATCTCCAGCTCCTGTTACAATTGATTCACCATCAGGTGATACAGCTAAATATAATACACGAAATGTATGTCCTGTTAAACGAGCTAATTGTAACATTGATGGATATTTCCAAACAACAATTTGATTTTGTGAATAACCATGCTGAAAAAAAAGAGAAATATAATCATATGAAATAAAATTAAATCTAGTTTTATATACCGTTGATACAAGTTCATTTGAATGTTTTGACCATGCTAAATTACATACCTAGATAAAAATGAAGAAAAAAAAATAAGTTTAAATAATTATAATCATATTTATTTACTTGAGATCCAGTATCAATACATTGTAAACTTTGTGCTGTTAATGTATTCCAAAATCGAATATATCGATCGGCTGTTCCTCCGCCACTTGCTAATAAACCTTGTTGATGTGGACTCCATGCAATAGCTTTAACAGCTGCTGTATGATCCGTATAAATTTGTATTGGATTTATACAAGATTGATTCCATACTAATAAACGATTATCATTTCCACCACTTGCCAGTAATTGTCTATCAGGTGACCATTTTAATCCACATACTTCTTGTCTATGTCCAGCTAATTTACGTTCTTGTTTACTTGAACGTGTATCATTTTGTAATATAAATCGATCACGTGAACCAGAATATATACAATGATCATTCCATGCTAATGCACCAACACGTGCTGTATGACGTGGAAATGAAACTGTTTTGCGATTTGTTGTTGCATCCCATATCTGAACAATACCTTTATGAGTTCCAACAGCAACATATTGTCCTCGATCACTCCATGCTACACTTGTTACTGTATCTGATTCAGTTTGTAAATCACATAAACGTGTGACATTACTTGTATTTGCATTCCATAAATAAACCGATGCATTAAGACCAACAGCTAAAATATTTGTTGATGACCAATCAACTAAATTTAAATAAAAATCATCTTGAAGTTCAGGTGCATCAAGAACTTTAAATGGAGTTTTAGGAATTTTTCGTAATTGTTTACGTGGTGAACGTAAAAGACGAATTGATGCAGGTGATAATGGAGATAAAGAATATGGTGAATAATGTAAATCATCTGTATTACGTCGGGCAGAATAACGAAATATAGTATTTGGATCACGTGTACGTAATAGATTTGAATTTGTATTTGTATATGGTAAACGTTGCTGAGATGATTGAGAAAGAATACCCTAAATTATATATAAATATAAAATTTATCTATTCTAAATTAGTTTATTTACATTGATTCCTGATATTGATGTTGTATGAATTTGTCCACCAATAGTTTGTCCATTTAATGTTGTTGTTACAGGTTGAGAATTAATTCCTCCATTAATTGTTGTATCATTATTTCCACCTTGATTTGTAGTTCCTGTTGTATGATGTTGATTACTGTTAATATTTGAATAAGAACTATTCATATGATATTCATCATATAAAGTATCGATTTGTGTTCCAAACATTTCATTTTGTAATAAAGCTTGATAAGTTAATACATCTTTTGTTCGATCAGCTGCAATTGTTGTACCATTTGTTGATGAATTTCCATTTGTATTTGTTGCTGATGTTGTTGGATCACGAGAAGATTTTTTATCAATCATTGGTCCTTTATGTGTTTGTTCTTGATCGATAAAAAATGCAGATGGTTGGGATAAACTTCGAAGTGGAATAAAACGATCACTACATTTAATAGGTGATGGAGATGAGATTGGAGATGAAAATGGAGATGAATTAAGAGATGAACCACCCGACATAGATTGTATAAGACGACGTTCAAAATCAGGCTCCATATTTATCTATTTAATAAAAAAAAAATAATAGTAATTTAGTTTCATTATAAATTTTAACGGTCACATGAACTAACGATAGGACAATGACTACTACGATTATTTGTCACCTTTTGTAATCCAATAGAAAATCAGTTAGGAATTCTTCGTCAATGTTAATTAATTATTTTTATGTTATGTAGTTATATTTTTAGATTTTCCTAATCTATTTCTTTCACATGAAATATTCTAAACTATTTTAATTATCAACATAAATTTTTCAACAGATGGCGCCAAGACGCTATACTGAGAGTGAGGGTGTGGGTGGATGTGTTAATAAATTAATGCTTTTGATATGACGTTTTCGTTGTCCGGAATTTAACTTTAGCAAGTTTAGCTGGAATTTTGAATGATGATAGCGAGATTACAGTCACGTTCTTTTACATCTTGTGCAAACAAAGATCTGTTGAGAGTGCTGAGTTCTCATTATGTGTCTAAAAATGTATATTCGAATAATATTACGAACTATATGTAGAATTTAACGCATCTGTCCGAACATTATAGATGAAAAATAAACCTTTAAGCTTAAGAATACAAAAAATGATTTTTTCTCTCCATTGTGGTCATTAGATTTATCTAAATTAATCATATAATTTACTCTAAGAAAAAAAGGAAAAACTTACAATCATAATTACAAAAAAAAAGAAAATTCTATTTGCAAACAATTATTTACAACGGGAGTAAAGTACGCGACAGTAAATCCTGTAATTCGCATAGGGATACGGTATTGGTGTGTGGCACTTGTATCCCTACACACCCATATCCATACTTTCAGTCAGTTTTTAAGCGCGGCAGGTTGTCAACAGCAATGTGCATGTCTAAATGACACACTACTTGTAACAATTAGCGTTGTATCAACTCTTAACGATATACTTGGGCTTCAGAATTATTTTATTTTCTAAAATTTGTAAGCATTCTTGACAATATAGTATAATATAATTCATGTAGTTGATCATTTTTATGAAATAACAGCGAAGATCAACTACTTTCTCAGACATATAACTGTCGATGATATGAAATAATTTCAAAAAGCAATCTAACATGAGCTAAAATTGAGCGAGTCATTTTTCTTTAGAACTGTATATTGACTTCTAGATAAGATTTCACTTCTTTAACTGAGATATATTAATTACGGCATAGAAAAAATTGTTTGAAATGCAAGTATCTTTTACTATATTGAATTATCACACTGCCGTTCGGAAACATATGATAAAGAAATTTGAATAACGTATACATGAAAATAAAGTAAATAAATGACTTGTTAAATACTGATATTTAGAAAATACGTCATGAACATTGACGTCAGTGTTTGATACTATATACTTTTTTTCTCCGAAAACATATTCCATTACAGTTACTAAAAACAAGTGTGATTATTCTGATCAAGTTAATTAATTGATACTCAAGAGTATTATTTTGTTGGAAAATCTTATAGCATTATAAAAATAAAGAATATAAATATCATTAAATAGAAGCGAATGAAAGAGAAAGAATGATATAAAAGCGGAAAGAGAAAAGGCTTTTTCATGTCATTTTTTATCAACAGTTATTATTGTAAGACAATCTCCAACAGAGAAGTATTTTTAGGATGTATAAAGTAACAATAAGGTTTAATCTTATGGCAATTCTAATACTCATGATATTAATCAAGAGTATATCAAGTAGGTATTCAAAGACTTCACATTGATAGATCATTATTTGCGACAGATCTAATTAGATAAACTGATTGATTTTACGTACTTATAGCGTTTTTGGAGATTGCTGTATAGATTATATTTACGATCCTTTCTATCAAATTTGATGGGCGTTAGAAAATCTAAGAAAAAGTTCACTTTTTCTATAAACAATGAAATCTGATAGACGTCATTGTAATAGAAAAATCTATGTACTAGTTTTGGTGAGAATTACAACTATTATACATATTTATTCTCAATTAACATGTTTCTTTTACACATGGTTGTTTATTAACAACAACCGTTTCATTGACAATTGAGATAATCTATTACAGATTTTTACTGAGTAGTTTGAAAAAAAGATTTGTTCCTGATCTTGAATTTCTCAATTCTCATTACTCAAGTAATAACAAGATCAAACATTGACTGTCTAAGATAATTTACAATGTTTAAAGAAAAACAGTTTTACTTGTATGATAATAACTTACGGAGGATGATAACAATATGTTTTTGTGTTTACAGTGCAAAAGAGATTATTGCCTCAAGCTTCTTGGAATCAAAATGGTATCATCGTTGCAGGATGCTCTAATGGAAGCTGCGGATCCGCCCTCAATAAATTCAACCATCCTTTAGGAATATCAATCACCGATAACGACATTCTTTACATTGCTGATATATTGAATCATCGTGTTGTTGTCATTCATCTTGATTCAACTGTCGAAACTTTCTCTATCGGCTCTGAGAAAGGATCTAACCCGGGTGAATTCAATAGTCCACACGATGTTTTCATCTTCAATACATCACTTTACGTTCTTGAACAAGATAATAAACGGATGCAAAAAATGTCACTTAATGGTTCACATCCAATTATAGTGCTCAATGTAACTGGCTTAAGTTTGCCCATATACCTTTATATTGATAATAATGGTGACATATATGTGAGCGACAAAGGTAATCACAGTGTTTTTGTTTTTCGATCGCATTCAACTAATAGTTCAAGAGTAGCTGGTACTGGAGTCCAAGGATCTACCAATGAAACGCTTGATGGCCCATATGGAATATATGTCAACAATGTTGGAACTATTTACATTGCGGATCGTTATAACCATCGAATCATGAAGTGGTTAGCTGGTGAATCATCTGGAGTTTGCGTTGCTGGTAATGGAACAGCTGGCAATAGCTTAATGCAACTTCAGTCACCAACAGATATCATCGTTGATGAAAATGAATATATGTATATTAGTGAATCACTTAGCGCACGTGTAACACGATGGGCTCCTAATTCAAACTGTGGAACGTGTATCGCTGGTTGCTCGGGAAAATCTGGAAGTGCACCATCTCAGCTATGCGAACCACACTCTTTAGCGTTTGACAGCAAAGGCTCACTCTATGTCAGTGAATATGAAAATCACAGAGTGCAAAAATTTCAACTTCTTAACTCTCCTAGTAAGTATGTAATTCATGTACCATATTGGTGAGAAGTATTTCAGTCATTTATAAGTCTAATGAGAAAAGCTAATAAATAGAAGTCAAAAAGTTACAGTAAAATAGTGAAAAAATTTTTTTCTGCGTGCAATCGTGTATCATCGAGCCATATTTTGTTGATTACGTGTCATAAAAATCGATATTGTTTTTATGACACACACTCAAACAGTTTTCTGATAACTCTTTATCCACATGTCATCAGTATTCCTTGAAATGGAATACATTCATCTAAAAGAAAACTTTCTTGCGAAACTTTGCAGAATACTTTGAGTAGCTTTTCCTGATCGATAACGAAGAAAACTGAAATGTGAATGATTTCTCAAAGTAGAATTAACGACAATAATTATTTATTATTATTCACATAACATCTTCCTCACAAACAATATTAAAAGATTCTAAAATATTTTTGGTTTTGTATTCACCTTTTAGAATGATAACTTGTTGTCTGACTGATAAATCACATCATAAAAAGTTTGATGCATTCCACATATTTCGATGAATATTGTAAATCTAATCAGCAGATCTCGTAGTTTTATGCTTATTATTCATCGTAACATAATCTTTATAGACTTATGATTTATTGTAGAGTGTAGTTTCCAAAAAGCACATGAACGTTGTTGTTGATAATTCATAACATATGTTTCAAAGGATTCACTCTTTTGAGAATTTAGAATAAAGATAGATTTTTTCGAGAAAAAGATTAAATATCATTTAATTATGGATGATATTGAATTTTCGAGTTTGCCTCTCTTTTCTCTAGTTCCATACAATCAACCAAAGATTGTTTACAATATAACATGGGATCAATGTGGCATCACTTTTGCTAACAAATGTATTCTTCCTACGATGCCTCATGGTATTTTTATCGACTCGAATGATACCATATACATAGCTAATTATGAAAAGGATCGGATTCTAATTCTACCTAAAGAAGGTAATATTCTCGAAAGAAAATTAATTGTTAAGCTGTTCAGGTACACAAGTTTATTCGTCACATTGAATGGTGATATTTATTTTGAGAGTGGCAATGCACCTGGTCGAATCGAGAAGTTCAAATCGAATTCAACAAATAGTGAATTCGTGACAAAGTTCTCAGGAAACTGCTATGGTCTCTTTGTTGACATTCGAAATACTCTCTATTGTTCCATTCCATTGGAACATCGAGTAGTGAAGGTATTACTAGACCGCGATATTAATACAACGATCACAACAGCAGGAACAGAGTTCCAAGGGCCAGAACCATATCAGCTAGATGTTCCTTGGGGAATATTTGTTGACATTAATTTTAACTTGTATGTGGCTGATGCTTCAAATCACAGAATTCAACTTTTTCGACCAGGAGAATTAAATGGAACTACAGTGGCTGGAAATAATATTCCAAATAATTTGACATTACACAGGCCAACCGACGTGATACTGGATACCGATAGTTATTTATACATTGCAGATAATGACAATCATCGTATTATTCGAGTAGGAAACGATACATTCCAGTGTCTCGTTGGTTGTACTGGCAAATCCGGATCGGCATCCAATGAACTCAATAAAACATATGGTCTTCGCTTCGATAGTTCTGGTAATTTATATGTTGTTGATGAATATAACAGTCGCATTCAAAAATTTAGTGTTTCACATAATTCATGTGGTAAGTCTCCTTATAAAACTATAGTGAAAAGTATGAGCAGTCTAATTTTTGTTAATAAAATTAATTCTCTACATCGACTTCATAATTCTTTGTGTTAAACCTTTTCACTAACACGATCTTTCTCTTGTAGTAGAAACTCCAACAACTGCGATACCAACTGCTGAATGCACAACAACTATCTCGACTTCTGAATCCACAACAACTATCTCAACCCCTGAATCCTCAACCACCATCTCAACCTCTATATCCACAACAACTATTTCAACCGCTGAGTTCACAACAATCATATCAACCCTTGAATCCACAACAACGATCTCAACCGCTAAATTCACAAGCAGTATTTCAACCCCTGAATTTACAACAGCTCATTTATCTGAAACTTCAGAGTACAGTAAGTGTAATAAAACATCGTTAACAAACGTGTACTCATGATAATGATTTTAGATCAACTAACAACAACAAAAAAGACACTGGTGATTTCTACGGTACATCCACGTACGTATTTCATGCATGTAACTTCAAAAATATATGATTTATTATTTCATCTTGCTGGTTATCTAACGCACAAGTTCTGATAAATGTAAATCTTAGAAAGGAATGTTTCTCTTTCTGTTAGTGAGACAAA